TGGATAACTAGATTGTCCTCTTTCCAGGAGCCCTCTGTTTCAATATAGGCTGAGCATCCCTAATGCAGAACTCAAAAATCTGCAACCTTTTGATGCCAGTATGACTGAAAAGTTTTGGATTTTAGAGCATGTTTGTTTTTGGATTGGGCATGCTGAGCTGATGAAGACAGTGCAAATATACCAATATCTGAAAAACTAAACTCTGACACACTTCTATTCCCAGGAATTTCACACAAAGGACACTAAAGCTATACTTCTTGTGTGACAACTAAGAATCTATTTCTTCTGTCCTAAGTTAGAACACCTATGGCTTTAAGGATTGAGTTTATGGGGACAAGGAGAGGCACAGAAGTAAACAAGGAAAATCAGTACATTGTAACCAGCACTGTGTGCTAGGGTGCCTGATCCCAGGCCCATCAAAACTATTTTGACAATATCCCAGGTGACTCTCATGTATCTTCTGAACAAGTATCCAAATATCCCAATAAGTACAGTCTTAAAATCCATTCTTTTGACTTATTTACCAGTGTACCATAGTATTTTGATAGAGCAAATGGTATTCTTTTAATCATATGCCATTAAAGTTTTCCACTACAAATCATCCATTGGATTTCTAGTATAAATCTGTAGATAACTTTTTTTCTTTTAATCAAATTTAGATTCTCCTTAAATCTGACAAGCTGTCCTTCATCTTAGGAGCTAACAGCAAACCATGAAATAGAAAATGCATATTTTGCAGATCAGGCTAAAGCTTTTTCACCTTCATGTGACTTTCAAGATAGAAAAGCCCTCAGTTCATCTAGTTTAACCCCACTGACGTACCCAATGTTTGTTACCCAGTAGCTCTCCAAAGTTCTCACTACATCAGCTGTCGCAAAACATTTGAGATACTTACTGATTTTTGTAGAAAATGTTAGCACAGTTCGGATATTAAGCTATAAGCTTTTTAAGCTTAAAAGCTATAAGCTTTTTAAGGACATGAATTTTACAAATATATATTCCCCTCAGTAACAGACCTTTGAATATATATTTATTGAATAGAAACGACCCTATCACGTGCCCCTCACTAAATGGGAGATGAAATGAAATGCTGTAACAAGAGTTGGGAAACATGCCCACCAACTAAGGACTTTTGACTTTTCAGACAACAGTGTCCTCTGGAGTCCTCTCAGTCACAGCCTGGATCTGCATCTTCATGGGGCAATGCTGCCTGGGTCAGCATGTGAGACATTTCCTTAAGGAGGCTGAGGTTCACTTTCCCTTTCATTTCTACCCAGAATTCAAGGCAGTCTCAGAGGTGCTAAGCATCTGCCACTTGAGTTCCATAAGTAGTGCCAAGTCCTGGGCCCATCTGAACTCAACTTTTAAAGCATCACACAAATAGCTCAGATGCTCATCAGAAAAGGTGACCAGATCACTCTGGTCTTAAACTAACATTTTGGATGCTCTTGAGCTTTCTCCTTCAGACTTTTCCAGGTTCTAAGCTGCTTCTTAACTATTCTAAATATTGCCCCCGATATTAACACATTTATAAAATATCCAAATTCAGGTATCTTCCATTAAGCTAGAAGTATGAGATTAGAAATAATGTTTGGCATTTTGTGATCCACCAGTCTTAAGTGTACAGTTTGTAAGATTTTTGTATGTCTCATGATCGATAATTTGAATTCAAAAAGGGTTTATCAAGGAACAAATAAAAAGGAAAGATTAGCTTTTCACCCATGTCTTACACAAACATGTTCGGCAATTTAGGGATATCAGAGCCAAGATAGAAATTGGACACTATTGCCAAGAATATGGCAGTTATAATCTTGATAGTACAGTTTGAATAGTTCCTAGAAGGCAATAAGCTAACAAGAAATGTGGGCTTATAGTCAAATGCCAATCAGGAGATACTGATCTTCCAACTATTAAAAGATTTTTCATTAAAGAGCATCCCTACCATATAGTAACAAGCCTTCTTCCTTCATTAAAGGCACAATCCTCTTCATCTACCTAGGATCTGGTCACTCAATGGCTACAGCAGCATCCAAAGGGCACTTAACCTACCTCTATTCTCTGAGAACACATTTTAAGTGCCTAAGTTTTTATTAATAAAGCATCTTGATTCAATCAGGATTTAACACAAAATATTACCCAACTCAAATTTACTTAATTTCTTGGAGCTCAATAATGAAGTTTCTATATAACTTTCCAAACATGCATGCAGAATGCAAAGGAAAACAAGCTATTAAATGACCTGAGAGATAATGCTACATAACTTGGCAATGACATAAGACTCTGGCACTAGCTCAAACATTAACCTTAACTGCCTTAACATTAACCTTAACTGCCCAACTACCATGATCATAACTGATGTAAATGGTCCAATATCCCCAACTTACTCTCCTTAAGTGATCTATACTAGGTTTTGACAATCTATAGTATATGTTGTCAGTACCAATAATGAACATTTCCCTAATCTCAATTTCAAGCATCCAATTATCTAAACACCATTAACCATCTTTCTGGCCCTTCCTAAAGCACCCCAAGAATTTTTCAACCTGACCATACCCTATAACTCACTAACCACCTTTCTCATTCTACTCCTTTCCTGGCTTCCTTCTTCACCCAGGCTTTCAGTACAATTCCCTGTCATTATAATCACTCCTAAACACTCAACTCCATTTGCTATATTTATGTTAGAAGTGTAAGCCAAATAAACTGGCCATTCCTTACCTGAATCTTTAGTCTCGAATAGAAAAACTATAACCATGCTAGCTAGTGTTAATTTAACCTTAAATTGGCCAGGCTCATTGCTCATTGATCCTACTCCTTTTTCATCTTGGCTCAAACTTTCAACATCTCCCCCAACCTCAGTTAATTTCACTGAAAAAACAAGCAAGAGTAATTTCAAAAAAAAAAAATTGTTCAGTGGTAGAAGCACCTGCCTGGCAAGCGCAAGGCCCTAAGTTCAATCCCTGGTACCAAAAAAATAAAAAATTAAAATTAAAAAAATCTCATGGCTTTATCAAGTACCCATTATACTCTGCCTTTCTATGATTTTTGTTTCATTTTTCACTTGCCTACTTGAACCTTTCCTCTCTCAGGTCATTTTCCCTCTCAAACATGCCATAATTAACAAAAGACATTATATTATCTTGCACCTTAAAGTCGCTCAGATCTTTAATCCTCCCTCAAACATTTTCATCAACAAAAAAGCTATAATATCCTGCAACCTAAAACAAAAACAAAACCCTTTGTAACTCTTTCTGAAAACCTCACAAGAAAGAATTGTAATAGCTGTCACCAATTCTTCCAATCTGTTAAAAACATCCCCAGTCAGGCTGTTGCTTGCCATCTCAGTGAACTGGCTCTGGCTATGTTCACATGGTCAACTTTCAGGCCTAATCTACTTCACCTAACAGCAACACCTGACAGCTGATCTTCCTTGCGCTACTATTCATGTGGTTTAGAGCACTCTTCCTGTAATGGCACCACTACCCTCTACCTTACTGCTGGCTCCCTCTTTTGTTGGCTTCATCTCACCAAATCTGAACATAAAAATGTGTCGGTCTCAATCCTTGTGCCTTTTCTCTGTCCACACTTATTCCATGCAATCTCATCCCCATTTAGTTTTCAGGGCAGATCTTTCTCCTGAACTCAGGCTACTTGACACCCCCACTTAGAAGTCTAAAAGACACTTAAAACTTAATGTCTATAACCAAAACTTCCTTTGTACATACTTTTAACCTATGAGGTCTTTCCCAACTCAGTCATGGCCATTCCAGTCTTGTCAATTCTCAGTCCAAAACACTTGGAGACATCCCTGACTCACCACACTCCAAACATCAATTAGCAAATCCCATCCATTCCACCGTCAACATCTCTACAATCCAAACACTTTCACCACTTTTGCCAGCTTCAGTTAGGTTCAACCCTATGCCATATTTCACATGAATTATTCCAAGTGCGGGGTTCCTTAAGTATATTCCCATAAATGGAGTTAGAGAGGTCATTTTAAATCAGATAATATCACTTTCCTGCCTCACTGGCTTCCCACTTTATTTAGAATAAAATTCAAGTCCCTATATCCCCTTTCCTTTTCATCTCCTTTCCTTCTCATCTTGCTCTAGCCACCATGACCAGCTTGGTATTCCTTACCTAGCAGATACCTCAGGATGTTGCCATATAGTATTTTCTCTTTGTGGAAGATGTTTCTCACACGTCATTCCCTTACTTTCTTTAGGTTTTTGATCATGTTACCTTGTCTTGGAGGCTTTACCTAATCCTGCTCTATAAAAGTGGGGTACACATGCAAATATATACAGACCTTCATTTTTTCTCCTAGAAAAACTATTAGGATGCAGATTTTTGCCTGAATTGTTTATGCTTATAATTGCAAATGGCCATCATTTAAAAAATTTACTGAACTTACAGTACTTATCACCATCTGACATACTATAGATTTTTACTGGAATATAAACTTCAAGAACACAGAAGAGCCCTTGACACAGTTCAATAAGCATGCAGTGAATGAACAAATAAATGAATGATGTAAGATCTACCCTCGACTTTCAGTATTTTCCTTCTTACTGAAATTCTACATTAGAAGGCTATTGAAATTTCATTCAAATGTTTCTCACCACTCTCTTTTAAAGCATTCTCTTAGCAAACATTCAAGATAATTTCTGAAAGTATAGAAGTCATATAGCATAGTTTTTTTTTAAAAAACCACATTTTCTAATGTGAACTGAAATGAAAGCTTGCTGCAGACATGCAACTTCCACTGACAACAGGGGGTGCTAGCCCACTGCTAAGAGATGAACATCTTTCTGTTCAACCCAGCATCTTCTCTCTGGCTCTTGCTCACAACGTGCAGAAATGGCTTTGAAACATGAGAAAAACATTGTAATTATCACCTTTCTGAGGCTGTATGTGTCATGCATATTGGCCTACACTGCACAGTGCAGCAGTACAGAGGGAGGACTGGTATAGATGTAATTAAAGGCCAAACCACACATTGTCATATAGGTTTTAATAGATTTTTCTGATTAACTCATCACAGTAATCATTTTTACTGTAATGATATGCAGCTTTACTACACTAGTATAAACATAAATACAGCTCTAGGCAACATCACAGATTAACAAACTAAGCATTGTGAACCAAAAATTGAAAGCAATTATTAATAAGATGCTGACACTCCTGCCCATTTTCATTATACCTTCTCAAACAGGGTACTCAAATAAGGCGCTACACTTATTATATTAATTAATTTGCCAATTAGCTAGGCACATGTATGTCATGTTCTCCACTACTTCATCATTTGGTTGAAAAGCAGACAATGTATCAAAAAGAGAAATGGGATAATAATATCAAAGAAAACCTCTAAATGCATTAAAAATACGGCACCTTTCCTATGTTTCAGTAGTAAGACACACTGAGATGGAAATATACCAAAGAAAATTTATGCTTTAATATCCATCCTAAAATGTCAGTCTGAAGCAAGATGGGCAATGAAAGCAGGACTTGAAATCAAAATGGAAAATGTGCAAAATAAAATCCATGTGCAATTTAATGTATGACACACCTGCAAGAAAACTGGTTTCTCCTTTGAAGGGTTGTAATTTAGGGCAATTAGTCATCCATGAGCCATGCTGAGAAGTTCAAAGTCTCGTAGTGAATTGCACACTGCAAAGATATTTAAGACAGATGAAGATATACAGAACTATCATTTAGAAATAATTACTCTGGATAGTCAAAATAAGTGACAGGTCTATGAAGAAAACTGAAGTCTGCCAAATGGAGGAAGTAATGAGGACCAAATAGTAATTTTTGGCAGATAGCAAAGCTAAGAATAGCTCACAAAACTCCTAATATTATGTTTAACTTTCAATTATCATTCTAATATGGCTTCATGATCTTTTAAGTCTTCAAGGTCATAGGTCTTAGGTGATCTTACAGCTCTTAACAGGTATATTATTAAGAACTAGGAAGGGAAGAATCACTTTCAAAATGTAACAATGGTTCACTGCCAGTTATGTTTCAGAAAATGTCTGTCTGCAAAAAGTCATTTGCTTATCAGAAATGCACAATCGTAGGATATTTTTTGAGTAAATTGCCTTTGCTAAGGGTGAACTAAGACCATGATTAAAACAGACATTTCCAAAAACAAAAATTCTGAACACTTTAGTACATTTTAACTCATCCTGTAAAAATGTGCATTGTGGCTACTCAAACTTATCATCAAACACTTCAGTTATGGAGGTGACCTACCCAGAGATTGAAAGATTATACTTACATTAAAATTTTAACTGCTACCTTTACAATTTTATTGTTTTCATTTTTAAAAATTTTCTAAAAAAAAGGTTAACCCTAATTTTGGGTTTTACTTCACTAGGTAATTTATAATGTTTTGAATGTTCCAGTTTGTGGGTCAAAATGGACAGATCAGAAGATATACATAATCCAGAGGATGGCAGTGAAAGATCAGGAAAAGGTAATGTACACATTGGATCATGGAGAAGTCAGCACAAGCTTTTTAAACCCTTGCTCCCATTGTAAACGTTTTTTCACATCTCCATATTTATAAGTCAGAATTAGTTTATAAAAATCACATTAAAAAGGTAAAATTATTTAAGTGTGATAGTAACTGATCTGTATTTTTATAAATTTTAATCCATAAAAATATAAATAAGATGGTAAATTTTTAAGAAAAGAATTGTACATTTAGTGCAAGTTATGAATTACATTTTATCTTCAGTGTCAGCAGTAAAATATCTTGAGGAAACAAAAGAATGATCTAATTTCAAGAAAGAAATTCCAGTGTTTAAACATGCAATACCAGATACAGTTAAACAGAATACTTCCTTCTCTTTACTGTCAGAGCAGCAGCTTTTTGTTTAATTATGCTGAACAGCACTTGTATATCATAGTAGTATTAGAAATAGAAAATTTGCATAAGACCAGGTCACATTATCCATAAAGTCTGAGAGGAAAAAAAAACTGTTTATCCTTTAAAGTTTTCACTGTTTTTCATTCTGAACCACACAGCACACAAGTTGGGAGATTTTGTTCATACTTCACTCAAGATTTTACCTGCTGGGCAAGCCTTTGACATGGTGTGTGTGCACTGTTCCAAGCTTTTGGTGATGGTACAAACTACATGGTTAATGGCACAAGAAACACTCCCTTCTTGTGATGAAACCTCAGTAAAATCACAGTACATCTCAATATGAGAAAGGACTGCTTCAACAGGGTACACCAATTTAAGAGGCTTTGTTACAGCTCAGGAGAGAGAGAAATAAAAGCTCTTCTGGAATGTAGAAAGGTAATGCTTAACTACACAATTCATGAATTAAACAGAACAGTTCTGATAAAAAAGGGCAAGACTTTGCAGTCTTATAGATGGCTCAATTCAAAGTCATCCCTCCAGAAATAGGGACTGATAACACGTCTCTGCAGTGTTGGAAATAGGCCAGGTGCTCGAGGACTCCAGCGTCATCTCCGTTGAGGCTCAAGCCTGCACTATCACAGCACATCCTCCACTGAATGCATCCAGTGCAGAACACAACAGGAGCTGATTTGCTGCTCGCAGCTGGGGAAACATCTCTCTTTTCCTTCCTGAACAATTCCTCCATTCCACCAGCATTATTTGCAAACCATGATGCAAAAGCCTGGCTTTTATATTTCCTTTTTAATTTTTTTTTAAAGGAGGAAAAAAAAGTGGACGACTCCCTCAGGTTAAAGAGTTGTGCTATTCAACAAATGAACTTCCTCTTCTGTTTCTTCTCTCTCCTCATCTATGGGGTTCAGTTGAACATTATTGAAGCGGGGTCTTGGTTTGCCGTCTGGGCCATATGACGGAGGATATCTTTTTTTGTTATAATGCCAAGCAGGCGTCTGAAAGAGATAAACAGAAGAATACTATTAAAATAAAAGGGAAAAGAAAACAAGAAGTTAAATCTATAGCTAAATCCTTTTTGCTGACAGGAACAGAGCAAAGCAAGCAGCTTGTGATTGTACTTTCAGAAAGTATTTTCTTGGTAAACAAAATTATCCAGCAACCATCCTTTGATATTAAAAGTATTATGGTCACTCATGGTATGAGGTCCTTTCCACTGAGTCCAAGGACTGCATACCTCACTGAAGTAGAGCTATTTTAATTATTGTATGCCAACAAAAAAGTAACAAAAAGTGAGAGGATACATGAATAGGAAATGATACTGATCCCATTTTCAGAAGGAAAATTCATTCTCATCATATGAAGAAAGCAATAAAATAATCCAAATCCCCTCAATACTTCACTTTTGTTTAACCAAAATTAACCAATTTCTAAGAAATAATTTAAGGAAACCCAGGTGTATGCAGAATCTTCATGAAAGCACATACAATTGAGATAACACACACAGAAAATTGGTGAACAAAAAACTTCACTCCCAAGCTTCAGAACCCCAAGAATAAATCTTATACAACCCACATTTCTAGTACTTATGTTTCCCTTTTTGGACTTTGATCCCCAAAAATAAGATACAGTGCTTTTATGAAAGTTTTAGATGTTAATGCTTACATTAAAAAAAAAAGTGAGAAATCAAGAAGCAGTCCTAAAAGATTATTACAGGTGAAGCAGAAAGCAGAATGAAATGAGTAGCTACTATATTATTCTGGTTAGTAGTTTTTTAAAAAAGGATGCATGAAACACTTGTGAAATATTAGCATACAACAGGAATACATAATCAGATTCTACTTAAGCAAATGGGGACAGGTTTCCTATAGGTGTGACAATTGCAGGGCAAAATAATTTCAGGCATTAATTGCTAAAGCCAGACAATTTTTGTTATATGGTAAGAAAATTCAAGATTTGTAATCATGAAACCACTAGGACGTGAAGCTTGTTAAAACAAGTACATCTGACCCCAAAAGCTGCTTATGGCTTTCTAGAAACATCATATAAAAGGGGTGCATACAGGATCTACATACAACTTACTAATGAAATGGCAGGACACACATTCTAACTTTGAAGGTATGTAGGGCACAACAGAAAAAAAGACTAACATTATAATCACAAATGTATTCACATTACAGTCTACCTGGTGTGTCCACTAAAACATCTTTTAACTGTCACCTATTCTAATTTCCAAGCTCGCTTACAATCATTTAGGAGCTTAGATTTACCATTACTACAACACAGATTAGGAACCAAAAAAGAAAAAGGGTTTGGGATGATGGGGCAGAGACTTTTAACCAGTCAGGAGCTTTCTCAGATCAGTGAATCTACCAAGGCATACAAGGTTTATATATCTCCTTTAAGTATGTCCAAATAGTCCCTCATTCAACTACCAAAGTGCTTGAGTCCTTAAAGTGTAAAAGAGATGTTAAATTTAAAAGAGATGTTAACTTTTGTTTACTTTCTATGAATGGAATTATACACATATCTGAATTTATCTTACAGACATCTGATCAGATAGAAATGTCACTGGCAGCGTGGCAGGATTTTTTGTTCAGCAGGTATCTGGGAGAGAGAACTGAACAGTTCACAAGTTTCATGCCTCCTGACTTCTAAGGTGTCTAGTGAGGAGATCTGATACAACTAATCACCAAGGGCTCCACGTGCTGCTTTAGTTGCTCGAGATGCTCTAAAATGTTCTTCTTTGTGATGATCCCCAAGACAATCCTGAAACAAATTATTATGCTAATAACTGTGTGAGAAATTAAATTAAGAGGTTCTAATAATAATGATAAAGAATGAGAGAAGAAAATAAAAACATAAACCATAAGAATGCGTCTCATGAACTTGAGAAAAATAAAAACAAAAATGATTTAAAATTCCAGGTTTCCTTTGTATAAATTCTATTGACTTTCAAAAGTGACACAATGCTATTTTTAAATATTGGTGGTTTATTTTCTATTTCAAATTAAAAGTCAGAATTATTAAAGTTCAAAATGAAGATGACTACAAAGAACAAAAGAAACTTAATAATGACACACAGTCATAACCCCTGAAATTTAAGAGATCTATTTTTAGTGTCCTCTCCTAAGAGGAATGTGTTCTCCCAATCTCGATGACGTCACAACACAGCATCATGTGGATCTCCCACACAGCAAAGGAATGCTTGGCTTTAATGCCTAAGACAAGACTCCCTGCATTTTACTACTATTTGTAATTAAAATTAAGGTGGTGTGCATGAAATAAATAATGCTGACAGAAATGTTTCCTAATTTTAAGAAAGTGAATGTCACTTTTAAAAATAAGCTAATACAACATACTTTGAGAATGGGTCGAAATGACTTTTACTTAAGCATATTTTCCTAAATAAGTATTCCTCAGTTAACATATCATTATTATCACATCAAACAAAGTTACAGACATACATTCTTATAATGAGGATATCTGAAACTAATTAGTCTGCCTTTAATTATTAAAACAAGAGTCTAGTTACTATATAATGAATGAAAATTAAAGAATCCAACTATAATATGTGACATTATAAACAGAAAAATATTTTACTTTTGCTTTAAAAGACTTTTACTCCCCCCAGCACTTAGGAGGCTGAGGCAGGATGAAGGCTGAGAGAGGCCCTGTTTTGAAAAGAACAGAACAGAACAGAACTTTGAAGCCCATCTAAAGTGTCCCCGGGGTAATTAGGCATTTCTTTGAGGATTTGGTTAAGTCATCTGTGCTGTTAAATCGCCTTTGAATACTCTGCCTTCCTGAAGAATGTCACCAGGGGACTTTAAAGCAGTCTGAACCTACAGACATGTCCCTTATGAAAACTTAAAATGATGGGGGCAGGGGAAACAGGGAGGGTAGGGAATTTGGAAGGCAGAAATGTCTCTGCTCGTGTTTTCTTGTTATTTTGTAAAAATAATGTACTGATCCTTAAAATAAAACTAAACTGAAAAGTTCTCAGAGCATGAGAACAACTTTCCCCTTCAAAAAGCTCAAAACCTGCACTATAGAAAATGGGCATTCAATCACTCAACAGATGTTCTTCTTTGACTAAATGAGGACTTAAAAAAAGACAACTGTCAATTAACTATTTTACGGTTGGAGTCAGGAAATGTGAAAATCTTGTTTGGCAATTAGTTAAATATAATAACACTAGTTTAACTCTTACTCATGCTTTTCTGTACAATTAAACAGAATGATTAATTTCAGTTAATACTGTAAATTCTGCCAAATCACTAGGCACACAATGATGAAAGTTACAAATTTATATGGACTGTGGCAAATTCACAGATTTACAGAGTAATCTTTAGAGAGAGAAAGAGTAGTAGCCCTAAAAAGGCAAAAATCTACCCAATCCCAACAGAGAAGTGATCTGAGAACATTAGTGCCAGGTTCTGTGCTGCTTTACTGTTTTTAGTGAGTAAACAAAAAATCAACTCAAAATGTGACTCATTTAAATTTTCTTTTTTGCGCTAAGTGATGATGTGAGATTTAAATGGCAAAAGGTGAACTTCCCAAAGGATGCTCCAACCAACATGAGTTTTATCCACTTTACTCCACCAAAAAATGGCAGCATTTTCAACTAAGTTTAAAAAACTATGTTTCCTAGTATCCCTTGTCTGTCAATCAAAGAATATCAACATTTTAAAAGTTCTGAGAAGTTCACAGTAAAGAAACATCAATTATATTTAATTCAATAGTTTCCAAACTTATATGGCCACCAAACATTTTTTGAGTAACTTCTATTTCTAAAAGATTGAGAAAGTCTGCTAAATTAAAATATAAAACGTGAGACATCAATAATTGCCATCTTTACAATTTTGACACATCTCCCCTTCATCTCTCTATTTTTTCTCCCTTCCATCCAAGGCTCTGCATTTGTCACTTCTGTTCCAAAAGATGTGATTTCTTTTCTGATTTTAAGTCACTTAACTTTACAGGAGAGTAAAACATCTTTCTTACACCGTGCAAAGAAAATAAAGTCCTAAGAGCCACATCTCTGAATGATCCTTTTGCTTTCCATATATACATTAAAAATTTATTTTCTGTGAAGGACTGAATAAGGAAAACATAAAGCAATTAAATATACTCCCTTAGAAAAAAAGACTCCACTCAACTTTTCATATAAACAAGAAGCATTAGGTAAAACCTTAATTAGCTACGTCTCCCCACTATTCACTTCATTACTTTATACTTTCTTTGGAACATGTTCCTTTCTAATATCTATGCTGCCAAATCTTGGAAATTCATCAGCAAGATAAAGTATGAAAATTAACAAATACAATAACTTTGCAGTCGTAGTCATACCTTAGAGAATTACATTTGTATCTGTTAGTACACAAAAGGACAAACTATACCAGGCAAAAAGCACAACTTGAAGAAAACAGCAGCTTATAATATCTCAGCTTAGGTTCCAACTAAGACATAAATTATTAAAAGGGGTCAAAACCCAGCAAAGGTTTCCAAAAAGTTATCTCATTTAACTAGTATTTTTCAAGTTTTTAAATAATGAAGTTTGGTACTGTCATTTTTTTAAATAAACAAAATTAAGCAAAAAACCCCCCCAAAAACCCAGCAGCAGTAACATAATACAACTCTTCTATAATCAGTATCTTTGAGACTTAATAATTCTAAACTCCCCATCCTTAAGAGGTTTATCCCTTTAATGATTTCATATTTCTGAAGTTATTTTAGTTAGCACAGTGAAAAACACTAAATATGTATCTAATTCTACAGTTTCCTATTTTTAGAAATGTGAATATCTATTATGCTATCTAAATATGGTATCTATTATATTTCTATTCTTAACCCAATATAGTATACTGGCCAAGAAAATGTTTTAGTAGTTTAAGAAGCCACCAAAAAAAGGGGTATATTCTACCAGTAAATTACAGTGTAAAATAGCAGCAAGAAATTGGGCTTTAAAGTTGGAAAGCTAGTTGAGCAAATTATTAAACCTCTTTGAGCTTCAATCACTACATGTATAAAGACACACCGCCTAATTTGAAGAGATCCCACAAAGTTAAATGAGAAAACATGAAGGTGTTCAATAAGCTAATTTTCTTTCTGTTTTTCTTTCTCCTTTCTCTAGACAGGGGTCAGGGGTTCTATTACGTATTTTGAGCAAAATGCTTAAAATAACATCAAAAAACAAAACAAAACCCTGCTCTGATTTCCTAAGTGTTTATAGCACAGTATTTCAACCAGTGTTACACTGCTCAGGGTTAGCCATCCAGTTATACATAATCCTTTGTTTCCTTTTCTAGCCTATCTGTTACCTGCCTTCATATGAATCAGATTCTTTAGAATTCTAACAAGGAGCAGTGGTCTACAGGAAACAAAGGGGCCTAAAGAAAGGATGGTGTGGAGACAGATCCCAGGTCCTGGAAATGAGAGCAGTGAACACCGGAGAGTGTGTCTGCTGAGGCATCCAGTGCATTAAAGCTTCACAGCCCCTGCTTATGTTCTTCTCGTGGAGGGACACTGGTAGTTTATGTATAAAAGACAGAAAAAAAAAAAGATCAATATGTACATTTTTAATACATGAGGGTTTGTCATTAGCATTTATGTACAAGATTTCTGGATGGAAAAGATAGGCAAGAAGAAACAGCATTTTTTAAAGGAGATTTTTAGCTTATTTACAAATTTCATTTGTATGCTGAAATACAAATTTCATTTGTACTGGCTTAACGAGTAAGTAGCAAAATATCTAGAAAGTTCTAATTGTACTAGAATTTTATATACTAAAATGACATACGTAAAAAAGAAAATACAGAGAAAACAGGCTTTGCAGTGCTCCATACAGGTTAGGTCCACTAGCCCTCTAAGAAATAAAAAACTCTATGCTCAACATGCTATTCACGTTTTCAGCATCTCTTTTCCAACTCTGATGTACAGTAGTCTTGAAAAATGCTACTTTATGTTCTGGCAGAGAGTGCAAATTCGACATCTTACTCTTTGGTAAGTGTGAAACTTACTGGACAGATGAAGTATTCATAACCATACTACATCATCGATCTCCCATTTGGCAACTGATTCACATTCCTTCCTAACAGGATTCCACTAAAAAAGGAGTTTTAAGTCTGGTCACTGAATGGATTTCTGTGATGACAAACTTACCCGTTGTGTGTGACGAGGCACTGCCTCAGCCCCAGCTTTCGGAAGATATCCACCACGATCTCCATTGGGGTGTGGTCTGTCACTGTAAAAGGGCTCATGTCGAGGATGCTGCGCAATTTCAATGGCCGAGGACTTTCTGCTGGAAGAGATGGGGTGTGTTGTGCAAAACACACCCGAGAACTCCCAACAATACCTTCTTGCTTTTTTCTGGCACTTTCTAAAAAAAGAAAAGACCAAAAATGTTAAATTGATAGGCTTTTGTTTTTAGGGGGAACTTGTTTATCAGAAAATAAATGTATTCTATGACTTCTGGCCTCTTCACATTTTCCTGTCTTCTTAACCAAGAAAGGAATCAACTGAAAAGCCATCTGGTAATTACTTAAATTTAACTGAGTCAGAATCTATCAATAACCAGTAATCTGGAGCCGTTTTCTAACTTTGGGAAACAAAAAGCATAATTTGGAATATGTAATTAAAAAATCTATACATATCATGAGTTTATTATAGGAATCCATCATCAATTGGAGCTTACCTATGTTGTCGCTTATTCTGCACTGGAGGTGAAACTAGAAAGTTTTACCCTTGAATTGACTCTATTGTATACTCTACCCCCTACAATCAAGCTGTTTCTTTCTCTTTCTGATGTTTAAGTACTCTATAATAATGCATAAGCATTACAGATAGGTTGAAACTGACTATACAACCACACTCACAATGGATAGAGTCTGACTTTTGGGGTGGTTTTATTGGGAAAGGTTCTGTCACTTTTTCTCCTCTCCAGTGTGCTCTGTCCTGCCCCCTGCTTCCATTCCCACTTTGAAAGTGCTAGACAAGATGGAGAAAAGTATAGAAAATACAGGAAGGAGAAGGAAACCCAAAAAAGGACAGAATGTGAAAATAAAAGTGTTTCAATTTTGTCTATTTTGAGTATTAATCAAAGTAGTATGTGCTAATATAGTATTCTGTTATAGTGAAAATAGTTTGAACACAAACTTTACTACAAAAATATTTAAGCCAAAATAATGAGCATCAGTCCTAGATTGAGAAGCAGATATTCTAAGGAAATACTGGATTGCTTTAACTGAGCTGTAACATATCCAAGTAGCCAGGCACTAAGTGAGGCCTTATCTTAGTAGCCCTTCTGAGTAAGTACTTACTTGCTGGGCCACCTTAAAAGCATAATCATAAATAGTATAGAAAAGAAGGCAACAAATAATTTTTGAAAAATGTTCATTAAGTTGCTTTTAGCCCACAAGAATCTCACCAATGACATGTGCTTGACAACTGAATGGTAGAGTATAAATACTAATCACAAGCACTGTAAATGAATACAAAAACTAAAATGATGTGAAGTGTGACATCACAGTATAAAATGTGGAGGAAGAGGAATAAAAGTCTAGAGTTTTAAATACAAGTCAAGTTGATATCAGAAATATATAGTAATCAAATTTAGACTACTCTAATACTATAATGAGGTATATAAATTACCTTTAACTCTAGTATAAAAGTCAAAGAAAAAAGGATTAAAAAGAACTATAGTTACAATAACTCATCAACAGAAACTAAAAAGATAGAAAGTAATAATATCACATGACATTTTTAGTTAAAATTAACCCCAATTATCAATCACAAACACAAGAAACATTACACTAATGAAAATATACTGATTGTTTAAATAATAAAACATTTTATTACTTATGCATTTATTGATTGGTTGTGGTGGTGGGAAGAAACTCAGTGCCTAGTGCTTATTAAGTACATATAGTACACCACGGAACTACATCCCCAGCCCAAAATACTTACTTTTAGAAAAAAATTATTAGCCTACATACTGGAATGGTCCCTTGATATACAGGATGCCAGAAGTGAATACCATACCTTAAATTTGCCATTTTAAGAATTTCCCTTTTATTCTTTTGTTTGAAAACTGCTGAGATTTAAAGTGTTCTCACCACAAAGTATATGAGGTGATACATTAGCTTGATTTAAACCCTCCACAATATATGCAAACCTAAAAACATATTAATATAGTTTTTCTCAAATAAAATATTTGCAAATGAGTATCACTTTATATGACTATATGGTGTAAGTTATTTGAACAAGCATCATGTACTGAATAATTACTAAGTGCTAGACTGACTGACCAACTGACTGCTATAGTGGGGACTGAACCCAGAAAGCACTAAATTACATCCCAACCCTCTTCAAAAAATGTATTTTGAGACAGAGTCTTGCTGTGTTGCCTAGGCTCCCTCCAATTTGGGATTCTCCTGCCTCAGCCTCCCAAGTAGCTGGGATTATAGATGTGTACCACCACACTTGGCTTAAATTTTTTATGCCATTCATTTATAGACTTTTGAAGCAGAGAAAATAGGTTTTATTTTCTGATACAGATCAGACATTAAAAAAAAAATCCCAGCATTCCTATTTTAATGAACCTAAGTAATCTGAATTTGGATTAGTAGTCTACAAAATTCTGCTTTTACTCCTAAAAGAGGAACATGTCTAGGGCCGGGGATGTAGCTCAGTGGCACCATGTCTGCCTGGCAAGCACAAGGTCCTGAGTTCGATTCCTAGAACTGAAAAATTTAAAAAGAACATGTCAAATTTGGGATTTCAAAAGATTTTACTTTATGAGACAGCACGGAGAAATTTTTGCCCTTCAATAAGCTATAATTTTATATATATTCTATGCATAGTAAAGAATGTAATTTTATTTTATATATATGTATATACATATATACACAAAATCTAGTGTACACATGTTTTTCCAGTGAAAAATTTAAAACTTTGCAAAGATATATTTTGGTAAATATTTGAGGTGTGTTCAAAAAGTCAGGATGGGAGCCAGGTTTGGTAGCACATGCCTATAATCCCAGCAATTCAGAGGCTGAGGCAGGAGGATCACCACATTGATATCACCCTGGACTACCGTGTGAGGTCCTGTCACAAAACAACACAAACATGTCATGACATGACTAACATTTCTGATGGCATGTCTTGATATCACATATACTTAAAGTACCCTTAATTCTCTAACCAGCATTACCTCATCTTCTATCCCAATATTCTCTCAAGACAGTGAAAAAACTTCAAAAATTTATCTACACAGTAAATGGGAATATAGATTATTCCTAATTTTTGCACTTTCTTATCTTTTAAGAATCTGGCCTTTTCAATTTCTATATAAATTCCAAAATTCTGACCTTCTTTTCTCTTTGGCTGGCTGCTAGTAAAACCTAAAGAATGGAAATTTATGTTCTTTCCTGACTAGGGTGGAAACAGTAATGGCTTAGAAGCTGAAACATCTGGGGCTGGGGAATTTAGCTCAGTGGTGCCGCCGCCTGCCTCACAAGTGCAAGGTCCTGAGTTCAATCCCTGGTACCAAAAAAAAAACAAAAACAAAAAAGAAGCTAAAACATCTGAAGACATCCAAACCTGACAACACACTCTGTCATCTCTAGAAGGCACTGTTCTAGTAACCAAGCAAAACCTTTGGAATGATGGGCTTGCTAATCTTTGAAAATTCTTCCTATTCTGTAGGCTTTTCCTAAATTGATTAAAGACATAAGGATCTTTTTTTCTTTTCTTTTTTCATCCTGCCCCTTCTCCTGCAAATTGAGCTTCCAGTTTAATCTGAGAAACACTCCCACCTCCTACACTATTTTCCCTCCTCAAATGGCACAAGAATTATTTTACAATTCTTCAGCCTTGGCCATAGAGGTAAGGTGGAAGGGAGATGACATGCTCTCAAGATGACCTATGGGAGAAAGCCAAACACTTGGATATTTCCAGCTCAGTGTCCTGTACAAACAACTGGGGTGTAACAAAGCCATGACTTAATGAATCTAACCTCTGGGTAGATGGGTACTGGGAGAAGACTCAAATTGTATTAGAAAAGATTAAGTCTTACTGGCCTTCTTGTTAATATAAGAGGACTATATCCCAATCATTTAAATTGAGATGAAAAACTATATTTAGCAGAAAAACAATACACTGAGGCATAAAGTCATTTGTCAGGGAAGATAAGACTTTAAGGGACATAAATTAACACCCCTTGTTCCTGAAACCCAACCAGTTAAACTTTACTTTCCTTTCTTCCATAAATCTGTGTGTGTGTGTGTGTGTGTGTGTGTGTGTGTGTGTGTAGTTTTTAGAAAGGATACCTATTGCAATTGTCAAGTCTCTTCTGAGGGCAAATCCCACTAATCTCTGAGATTCTTTTGACATTATGACAGGAAAGCCATTGTAACTGGTTTCATTAATCATGTTTTCTATGTCATCCACTGTCATGTTGTCCTGTGTCAAGACAGCTAAGGGAGGATCATTCCTCCGAGGTCTCATGACATCAGCTGCCAGGGTGGTATGAGTGAATTCTTCTTTTGCATCCAAGAAAGGGTATCCATTTAAACGGATGTGTGCTTCATAGATGCCTTCTCTACCAAAGGCATCGCCAACCCATTTACTGGTCATTACTGCAGCCATAAGAGGAACAATATATTCCAAGCCTCCAGTAAGCTCAAAAACAATGACCACCAGGGAGACAGTCATCCTTGTCACACCACCTGAAAAAAATAAGAACCACTGGTTAGGAAGCATTGGATCCTGGCCATAACATGTCACTAGAATTCTTATAGTAAGCAGTTGCATGCAAATCTGTAGACAGAACTTAGAAAATGCATTATCAAGAACTACTATTTTCTTAGGACAGTAACTGCTACTTCTAACAAGACCTAGAGAAACACCAAAGTTTTCTGTTTATAACACAGAAGACTATTAGCATACTATTTCAAAATATGTTTATCTTTTATTTGTAAAAAAATCGCAGCCAATTAATTAAGACAATGTTGCCAGTTTGGTTTGTTGTAGCAAAGACATAATTTCACTTTTACAAAAGCTTATTAATTCTTAAGGAATGTGATGGAGTGCATCATGTCTAATTTGTGACCAATCTACAAATTAAACATATATAAGTAGGATATTTAATAAAATTCTCTCCTCTACATCTTTTCAAAATGAGAAAAATATTTGGTGCCTTATGATTTATATTAACAATGTTAAGTAACTCCCCCCTTCTCAGCAAAAATTCATCTATTCACTGATGCAAATCATCATTCTCAACTGATATCCTTCTACTTCTTGTTGCTTCTGTCCCATATTTCAAATTATGCATGCTCAATCTTACTGTTATGTTTATCTCACTTTTCAACTATAAAGACTCTGAGTGATGCACCTTCACAGAAAACACAACGCACTTTAAAACCGGAACTCCTCTTCCCCAAAAGAGATCCTCATTCCAGGTTCCCTGACCCCAACTCCTGACACCACATTCTTCCTAACAACCTACATGATCATTCTTGGTTCATCCTTTTACTTCATCACAATATCTACACTGTCACCTATCCCTATCTGATTCCCTCTGCAAAACAGCCATATAGGGGTCCCTACTCAGGATTTGCACTGTTACCAACATAGTTCACTGAAGACCTTGTGGCTTACGTTTAATATCCTTTTATCCTACACCTCCTTCTTGACTCCAGACCCCATTATTTTTAGCCCACTTTATAAGCCATGCTCCAAGGTTAGTTTTTCCTAAGTCCTATTTTTACAATGTTGTTCCTTTGCTCAAAAACCTAATAGGGCTTGCCATTTGATAATGTACTAGACTTATTTCCTCCTTTATATTTTTAACCTAAAATTAAAAAGGTAGAGTAACCTACTATATGTTATGTATCCATTCTATGCCAGGCATGTTCTAGTTAGTTTACAGAGGCTTTTAAAATGTTTTTGAAACTTAAGCACTTATTTTACTAAGCACTATGCTAACAGCTTTATATGTATTTTAATCTCATATAATTCTCAAAATAATCATGAGATAGTTATTTTCATTTCATGAATTAGAAAATCAAAAACCAAAAAAGTAAAAGAACTTTCTCAAAGTCATCAAGCTAAAAAAAATGGCAAAGCCAGAGCTCTCCCAAAAGTCTGACCAATTCCAAATATAAATGAATCCTAACATAAATTTGGTTTATCTTTTTATAATGTTTCTTAACTAATTCAACTTTGTTTTCTAAAAGTATCCAAAATGCATTCTGTACTTAATATAATCAGTTTCTTCAAAGCCCCATGAATACTAAGTTAATTCCCAACCCAATTCCCTTATCTTCACAGTATAATCTTCAACAAGGCCCTCTCTTCTTTAAATTCTACAAATCTTTCAAAATAAAGTTCAGGTTGAAGTCCATCCCCGGAAATGCCTCATAGAGTAACTGGTTTTGCTTTACTCACAAGACTACTGGTTACGTCTATGTGAAGGAATTACAGGACAATTACTAAATTTATTGAAAGACCTAATAAGTCTTTCATACCTTAGGTAGTGGCATGTCCCATAGATCTGTGCCACTCTTAAATGTGATGGCCTAGGAATAAGTATGATTTGACCTCTTTAATGTTCAGAGATGGTATTAGAAATTGAGAACCAATGACTCTAAAGTGAAGTGCTTGAAGAAATTAGATCCCTAAGACTCCAGGTGGGAGATTTTGACGTTGTCATCAGTATGTCCATAACTGCAGCAGAAACAAAATAAATCTCAATAAAAGAACTGTGGGTTGATAGGACAACTGTTGATTAATCATCAGTTCTTTTAAAAAGGGCTATTTTAAAGATAAATCTTGACTCAAGCTTTAGAAGAGTGCAGGTGACTTTGATGGGCAGTGGAAGGATCACAATATATGGCTTTAAAAATAAGTATAAAGTAAAGCTCATGTTCTACCATTCCTGAAATGCTTCAGCTTTTTGTCTCTAGATTCCTAAAACATTCTTTGGGCACTGTGTATAATCATTATACATTGCTCACTACTGTTTTCTCAGTGTTAGTCTTATCTCCCCAAATTTGATTGTAGTTGAAGGCCCATACTTTTTTTTTTTTGGTACTAGGGATCAAACTCGGGACCTTGCGCTTGCAAGGCAGGCGCCGGAACCACTGAGCTAAATCCCATACTTTTTTTTGAAGCACTCACTGTACCTAGAATAGTGCTAAAAAGAAAATGGAGATATAATAAGTACTTGCTACTTTAATGGAAATGATTCTTCCCTACACTTCTACTGGATATAATACTTCTGAAGATCAATAATTATGTAATTTTGACTTACTGTACTAAAATAAAGTCAAAACATCAAATATGATTAAATATTATAACCAAAGTTTAGCTGACATCTTAAATATAAAATAACTATTTCCCATGCTAAAGAAGACAACAGACTCTTAAGTGCTTAAAACAGATATTATGCTTTTCTTTTCACTAAACTGAATAGCTACCATTTCTTTTGCTACAAATACATCTTAATAGTGGTGTTGATAAATAAATCTTTTCCTATGGCTAAAAGTAAATTACTGCAGAGCTCAAAGTACAAGCACTGTGAAGCTTTGTTAGAATACTAATCATAGAACTTTATAATCTTAATTGTTATCGGTAAGCCAAAAATCCTCAACAATAAAAAAAAAAATCTCCTTAGAAAGGATTCAAATTAAGCTTCTGTTGTACTATGATGGTTTCTGTCATAAAGTAATTATGCACAGTGGACCCTTGACTTACGAACTCAATTCGTTCTTGAGGGCTGGTAACTCAAGTTGCTCAATTGAAGGCTCAGGCTCCTCTATACAGCCTTCAAAGTCTCTCTCCTGTATACAGGCAGATCTCAGTATCCTTAGAGAGACATTGGCTCAGGATTTCTCAGTTAACCTCATACAGGAAAGGATGTTGTAATGTTCCTTCCAGAACTCTTTAAGGGTTAAATCTGTATCTGAGACCATCTGGAAGCACAAGCAGCTGGCATTAGGGTCATAACTCAAGACTTTGATCGTAAATTAAAACTAAAATTCCTGTCATAACGCAAGTTGTTCCTATATGTCAGGCCAGTTGTAACTCGAGGGTCCACTGCAACATTACAAATATACTAACTACCATTACATTTGTACAATAACAAATGTTCCTAGACAAGTAAAATAAAACCCAGTATGTACTGTAAAATACCACAGAGTATTAGTCTTCATTTCTGTTGATATATTTCCTCCCTCCATGCTGCACCCTCCTTCTCCCAGCAACTCACCCATCAATTAAACACAGGCATCTACTACTGGCTATTTTCTCTTTCAGACTTACAAACATCTACATACAAGCAGACACAGTGATGTTACCTAAGCACGCAGCAGCACCAACCATGGCATAAAGGCCAGGTGTAATGCAATCAGCTCCGACCTCACACCACTCCTTAAAGATAAACCAGTCATGGTGATAGTAGGCAAGTTGTTCTACTGCAATCCCCACAATCCTTCCTGCAATCGCTCCAATGGCCATGCTGGGGATGAACAAGCCTGATGGAACCTATAACAATAATTACACTCTTAATGAAGCAGAGATCCCCTCATATGTTCAAAACCTTCAGTCTGTGAATTTGTGTCTAACACTTTTGATTCTTTCCATATTTTACTGATATAGCAAAATCTAGTACAAATACAACTACAGCAAAATCTTATTAATAGTACCTTACTAATTATATGAACTCAGTTACAAAGTAACAAACCATATTTTCTAAGGCAAAGAGAAAATACCTCAGGATTATATATCCTTTATCTCAGGGATTCATTTATCACAGAGATTTTGTAAGGCTAGTACCTAACAAAATTTTCATTAGTCCATAGTGAACTAAGAAAAAAAGGAACAATTTTTCACAAAACTAAGTCAATTCAGTTTGAAGCACTATACTTAAATCCAAGATTATGTTCTTCCAACATATTAACCAATGGTAGAACTATTAGATGCTATTCCATTCCTAAGTGGTATATTGTAAAGTGGGCAATCTTAATCAGAATTAAGTATTTTGAGTGGAATATATACACAAATTAACTAAAAAGAGAAAATTATTTATTGAGTTGAATTTAAACAACAAAGTAAGAATAGTAACTGGCTCAGGCAAAATTATTTAAGACTATTGAAAAACTAAAGCTCTAACAAGCTGGGCACAAACCACTAACAATGGAATACATCGGAGTTATTAAAGGGATACAAATACAAGGGATGAAAAATACAATCTCCTAACAATTATGATTCTTCAGCCAGAGCCTAGGACTTAATATAGTGTTGCCAATTGCCTCCAGCCTCCTTACACGCTGTCAGTGTTACTCAACTGTTGATACCAATACTCGTGTTTCTGTTAGTGAGAAAGTTGGGGCTTAACAAAAAACAACTTAGTGTAGAAAGAGCTTCTTTAACTTGCTTTTCTAAAGAACTATAGATGTAATAATGTAAAGAACAAGTAAATGCTGACATATGCTTCCACATATGCATCACTGACAGTCACATAAGGAAAATTGTATTTACTGACAAATCACTAATCAATTAATGCTATTCTCACTTTTTAAGCCTAAGAGAAGCAAGACCCAAGAGCAAAAGTCCTTAAATCCTTGATGAAAAGGTATCCCTTGTAATTTATGTCCTTTTAAACTAATACTCTATAGGTAGGCAAGTTCCCTTAAGTTATCTGTATCCTAATTCCTAGAACCTGTGAATATATTATGTTACATGGCAAGGAGGAATTAAGTTTGCGGATAATCAAGGTTACTTAATCAGCTGACCTTAAAATATGAGATTATTCTGGTTATCTGAGTGGACCAAAAGTAATCACTAGGGTTGTTTTTGGTTTTTAATGGAAGAGGGATTTAGAAGAGTTAACAACAGTGATGAGACAAGACTTGATCAGCGACTATTGGCTTTGAAGACTGAAGGATGACATGAGCCAAGAAACAGAGGCAGCCTCTAAAAACTAGAAAAGCAAAAACAACACTCTCCTACAGCCTCCAAAATGCCAGTGAACATCTTGATTTTAGCCAGTTAGGACCTATTCATTTCTGACCTCAGAACTTTAAAGCAGTGAATTTATGTGGTTTTTAAAGCACTGCATTTATAGCAATTTGTTACAACAACAATGGGAAACTAACCCAAGTGGTATCAAACATAATCAGGCATTCTCTGATACTCCTCTAAGTATATGCCCTTCCACCTAAACCTGGGTAGGTCTTTGTCATTGCCTCATTGAAGAGAATAAAACTGAAATGAATGCTGGGTGGCTCCTTCAGCTAGTTTGGGAACAGCACTCTTGGGACACTTGCTTTTGGAACCTTAAGCTACCATATATGAAACCTAACTACTCAGAGGCTACTATGCTGGAAAAAACACAGAGAGCAAGACATGTCCTAGGAGCCTAAAAGTTCTGGCTTCAATTGTCTGAATCTTCTCAGCCCTAGTGCTAGAAATGTGAATGAAAGTCTTGAGATGACCAGCCCCAGCCATGTCTGACAACACCGGTGTAAGAGACTGTTATGGCTCCTATCTAGATGTCCCCCGAAAGCCTCATGCACTCATAGGTGAGGCTTTCCTGGGAGGTGATGGAATCGAGGAAGGGTGTGTGCTACTGGATTAGTCTATTGATGGGTTTACAGCTGGGAGGTGAAGTTTGAGGGGAAGAAGTGGGTCACCGGGGGTGTGTCCTGGAAGTATCCAGACTTCCCACTCCCTTGACCCCTCTTTGCTTTCAGCCTGCCATGCTGCCCTGCATTGGGGCACATTGACTAGGGACTGAAACCTATACAACTATAAGCCAAAATAAACCTGTCCTCCTTTAACTTGTGGATGTTGGGTTGTTTTCTCCCAGCAACAAAAAAGTGACTTAAGACAAGAGACCACAAGCAAAAATACCCACCTAAGCTCTTCCCAAACAGTTGATCCAGTATCAAGAACAAAACAGTTATCTTAAGATGCCAAGTTTTGAGGTAATTTGTTACACAGCAACAAATAACACTCAACCTTCTAAACCCAAAATATGAGTACCCTTTCAGCTTTCATTTATTCAAGTTACCTTTAGATAAAAATTTCATTTGTTATTCTACATACAAGTTTTGAATATGCCATGCTCACTTCACTATTACCATGTGATGTCAGTAAAACTTACCTTGATGCCAAAAGTGAATACGGTCATTATGATTTTAAATATGAGTGCTAAGCATAACTGCCATATAGCTGAATACACTCCAACGCCTGCTGGACGATCAGGAATATCATCAACAATTTTACTGGCATTCATGTCATTTCTGTAGTCACAGAGAGAAGAGGATTCCAGGGGACCACAGTCTGTAAAAAGCTCTTTAATCAGTTCACTGGTGTTGAGCCTCGTATATGGATTAGGGAAGGCTATCACAGCAGTAATGGCTGCAACAATAATGACTTCAAGAACAGGATATTTTCCAAATTTGGTGGATTTACGTCGTCGACACCAGGCAATATTTGCCCTAATGAAAAAGGCTCCCCAGAGCCCTCCAAATACCCCAAGGAGAATAAAAGGAAACAGTTCAAAAAGGTACCATGGTGTATGATACTCCACATAAAAAAGGACCAGACGGCTGTTCCCAAATGGATTGATGGATCTCAAAACAAATGCAGCCACTAAAGCAGCAAAAAATGATCTCCATAAAGTTTTAAGTGGAAAATAATAGCTAACCTAAAACAGAAAAGGAAAATGAAAATTAAAGCTATCATCTTATAAGGTGTTTCTGACGTAACTTGAATGCTAGGTATATCTTTAAATTTTAACCTAGCTACCTCTAAATTTTGCTTCAGCTAGAATTTACTCTAATAAAAAATGATGTCCTATTATCTTAACTACCACTTCATTACAAATACACAATAACTGATCATAAATATCTAATTATTTACAATACCTAACACTGTTTTATTTTCAAAAGGAGTTTTGTATCCAATTTCAATCACGATTATTAAAAATAAATGTATGATCAACAATGCCTGTTAGCTCATAAAGACATATTTGGTTTGCCTCTTCTACACAAACACACACACACACGCAGGCACGCAACACAAACTAGAAGAAAAAAAGTAAATTTAAAAACATTTCCAGTTACATTTTTGTTTAAAAGTATAAAAAAGTTTTAGGTATCGACAAGAAAACAAAATCAAAATATCACATTGAAGTAACTATAATTATTATCTTAAATATCAATAACTGTTTAAGAAACACACAAAGAAAAATCTGAAAAGCTAATTTAAGAGTTGATTTAAAATTGTAAAATACATACAGACTGTAATTTAACCAACAGGGATAGATTGTTGTAAATGTCTTCTGCCTAGTCAAATACATATTTTCTTACTTTTAAATATGTCAACACAGTTCAACTTAATCATTAATATTTATATAAAATAACACAATAAAGAAAGTATTTTTCTTAACATGCATAGTACATTACCTTTTATATAAGAACAGTCAAATATTTTTCAAAACTGTATTTGGAAACTTAAAAGCAAAGACTCTGTACCTGTTATATCAACTTAACTATAAAACTTAAATATGTGCCAAAATATATTTGTAATAGTAATTCCATATAATTTTAATTGCTGCACTTCTGTACCTACCTCCTCCAGGCTAAAAAGAACTCCTCCAATCGGTGCACCAAAAGCCACAGAAACACCTGCAGCTGAGGCGGCCGATAGCACCTAGAAAGTAGATGTGGATTATTTCTTGTAAATTCAAATATATGCAATAAAAACTCATATTACATGAATTTTTCCAAATGCCTCTCCTAAATTTAATCCACATGTCCTCCTCCCTAAACAAAGAGGAAGTACTCACTTCTTCTGAAAATACTTGTTTTTCTTCTGCTTTAATTGAAAGCTCATTCACACGTTCACTATGGAGTCAAAAATATTTGTGCCAGATATATTAATTTATGAATATGTTGTAAAGAAGAAAAGAAAATGAGTACAGAGAACTTTCCCTATGTATGTTTGTGCACACAAGAGGAGAGAGTAGAAAATGGAAGGTGAGGCAAGGAGATAGACTGACTTATTTATAAATAAGAAATCACTGCTCCAGATTTTAGAGCTAACTACTTCACCATTAGTAACTACTTTAAGTCCTAACATGACATCGAGGGAACTTAAACCTATTAAATAGTTTCCCTGTATTTTTATTACCTTAAACTCTCTAAACACATTGCTATCCACCATATGAAGAGCTTCATTCTGAAAGAACAAACACAGTCCCTCCAGCTACAATCTCACTAACTAACACCTCAAGAATAAAGTTAAAACAGAAAAATCTTCTGAGTCCTCTATCCAACTCCCTAACCTGCCATATCATCACTCCCCACTTCCTCCCTGTATGAAGCCAACTATACATGTAATTTCTTTGGATATTTATTTGTACTTAGTTTTCTAAGAGTCTTCTTTTCACAACTTTAATCCAGTAAATATCTGTGGCTACTTAAAGCAGTTACTCAAATAGTGAAATTTTAACATTTCTGTAAAAGAAACTAGAAATAAAGGTTAAGTTGTAAACGGATGAGACCATGAATTCCACAGTGAAGATGCTAGGTTGAAACCCCAGCTCTGGCACTTATTAGGTATGTGATCATGGGTAAATAACCTCTATGTCGCTCAGTTTTCTCTTCTCTAAAAAGAGGATGTGATAACATTACTTGGCTTATAAGGACTGAGTAAATACATATAATGTGTTTACAACAGCACCTGGCACCCAGTAAGTACTTTATACAAGTTTGATAAGCACAAACAAATATTTGGCTTTGAGAGGAAAGAGAGCAAATGTAACTTTCTATTTTTTTTCCATTAATAGGACTACAGACAACACATTTACTTAATTGAATGTTCTGATTCCACATTTAATATAATTTTACAATCAAGCTAATACCCATGTATCTATAATACATACACATTTTAATGTTTTATGAATATCCAAGAAGCATTTAATTTAAAAGACTTCAAAAAATAAGTACAGTATAGGGGAAAAAACAAAATATGGGGACAGGGATTTAGCTCAGTGGTTCCGCCGCCTGCCTCACAAGTGCAAGGACCCAAGATCGATCCCTGGTACCAAAAACCAAAAACCAAAAACCAAATATGTGGCTTTAATGCTTACAATTACCAAGAGAATTCTTACTGTTTACATACTAAGGTAACAAAGTAACAATATAACAATAAATATTAATCAATGACAACAGTGTGTGTATTGAAATGTAGGTGAATTAATTCAATTTAAATAATATATCCTCATAAATTAATTTTTTAAACTTATAATGTATAAATACAAATCTTACCCAAAAATGTCAAGGTACAATAGAAAGTAAAAGAACTGAACTGGGAAGGCAAATACTATAGATTCATTTTAGCCACTAACATGCTATGCTATAATATGGTTTGGGTTTTGTTTTGTTTTCAACACACACAAACATACAGCCAAACAATTGTAGTAGTAGTACAGCACCTCAGAGCATAGTCTATGGAGTCAGAGAAACATGAATTTTTAATCTACAATCTTCCAGTAACTGGCTGTGTGATCTTATGCAAGTTAGCTGGCTGTGTTAAACCCTAGTTATCTAATCTATAAATGAGGACAATAATGCTGTTACTAGGATTACTGTGGAACTGAAATTTAAAATGCGAATAAAGTACTTGCTACAGTACCAGATATATAGGAAAAAATCCATAATGCTAAGCTATTTTTGCTACAAAGTACTGAAATGACAATTATTCAGAGATGGAACTATGATGCCCTTAAGTCTTCCACTTTGGAATATCTACTGCCAATACAAGAACAATATTTAATGCTAATATTAAAAAGTACTAGAATTATTTCAATTAAGAACTAAATAGTTTCATAAAATATTCTTTTGTTATAATTCATAAAAAATGATGGAAATTCCTGTTTCAGGTCAGAGACTCTGAGTTTTCAGTATCTGATGAGAGGTAAAATATATCATGCCTTAAAAACTCTTAAGATCTCTACAGCATGAAGGGCCACAGAAATTATATTGGAAGAGCAGAGGACTGGTTCCCAGTCTCAAGTCATTATAGAAAGGCTCAGGAGGGCTGGGGATTCAATTAGTGGTTCCATCCCCTGCCTCACAAGCGCAAGGTCCTGAGTTCTATCCTCAGCAGCAAAAAACAAAAAAGGAGCCCAATTTTTCTTCAAATAAGTAACCAAAACAATGTAGAAACAGGAAGGTAAGTTTATAGTTTAAAAGTCAAGATCTAATGCTGGCCCACAGAAATGGTAAAGGAAACTGCTTTGAAACAGATGAATAAAGATTTCCTATATTCTCTTTAAAGTGAATATCCGGCCGGGGATTTAGCTCAGTGGTTTTTCACTGCCTGCTGCGCAAGTGCAAGGACCCAAGTTCGATCCCCGGTACCAAAAAAAGAATAAAGCGAATATCCTTAAACTTCAGGAAATTCTAAAGGCTCCCAGAACTTTCCATGGTGCTTGAAAGCTTTCCTCACATAGTGTGTCATTTCCACAGGCACTCAGATACTGCTGCCAGGAGGAAAACCCAGCAATTAAGATTTCCAACCCTGGAGATACACTAATGTTGACAAGTAAAAGTAAAAACAATGATATGTTTAGAAAACACCTCAGAAGAGGAAATGTGTAGGGCAAAGTGAAAGCAAATAAAGATCTTGTGAAGTTCAACTGGAATCCAGAGACATCAGCTAATCTAATGTAGTATAAACTACAATATGGGGTAACTCAGCAGCAGTGAGGGAGGATTCTAGAAAGATGTTGCTCAGAAAAGGGAAAAAAACCTAATTTTAAAATTTTTAATCTGAATATAGATTTTATCCAAAAACAGTAAAATACGATTTTTACACTATGAAATTCCTCACTGACATAAAGTCTACATAACAGATTTTTTTCTATCACATGAACTACAGAAAACACTTACCTCCCTTTTTTTAGCTTCATTTGTGCTATACTTGGGAAAGAGGTAGGAAAAGATATTTCCACAGCAACAGGCAACATGTACCAGGGGACCTTCTTTTCCTAAACTCAAACCTGATGCCACAGCAAGTACTAAAGTGATGGTTTTAATCATTAAAGTCCATTTTCCCAAGTAACCTCTGATGATGAATCCACTCAAAATAGTTTTAATCTACAAAGGAAAAGATTAAAGAAGCTTAATTTTCTTTAATAAAACACATGAGGATTTAATCTAAAATATTGTTTTATTCACAAAATGACCTTGCAAATTTTGATAAAGTAATTCACAATGATTTTTTCAAATAAGTTTATTATGCCACATGTAATAGATATGTGTCATATTCTAATTCTCAAGCAAGGACAGAAGGCAACATCATCTTATGAACAAATAAAAGTAACAGGCCATGGGGCCAGGGATTTAGCTCAGTGGTGCCACCGCCTGCCTTACAAGCACAAAGTCCTGAGTTCAATCCTCAGTACCAAAAAAAAAACAAAAAAAAAGTAACAGGCCATGTTAAAATAAATAGAAATTTTAATTATAAGGGCTATAGAGTAATTATATAACCAAGAAAAGATAAATTTGAATATTTCCACTGTAGAAATAAGCATAGCATATTTAGATATATTTTGGACATTGTCAAAAATAAAATATTATCCCCTTTCCAGAGAACTTTACTGGAGATGGAACATTTATATATACATCAGGAAAGATTAATGACAAATGCATATATCAAGTGCATGATTGTTCCTTATTAAAGAATTCTCAAGTACTACAACTTTAAAAATCACTACAACTTAGTTTTAAAAAGAAATTCATTAGGAAAACCCTGCTACAGAAAAATATAAAAGGTAAAGAAATGAATTCAAGTCTAATTCTCCTTTAAATTACTGTTGATGAATAATAAAACCCAAAAGTTTGTTTTATTGACCTATTGTGATCCAGTATTTTCTCAAAGTCTTCCACTTTTAGTATCTACTAATGACTCCAATCAAAAGGTATAAAAGAGAATGAATGCATTAATATCAGGGTCACACAAGCTTATATATCACATGGTTTCTCTTATATGAAAAATCCAAACTATAAATAAGTGAAGGGGGGGAACTCAAAAGATAGAGGGAAAGAGGAAGAAGGGGAGGGAAAAGGGATGAAAAAAAGAATTAAGATGTGTTATGTACATGCACCAACTCCACACAAGGAATGTAAACAGTACGTACTACAAATACGTACTAATAAAAATTAAAAATGAATAAAAAATAAGCAAACAAATAATCAGCGTTATAACTGCAAAAGATCAACTAACCCATCAAAGAACTTTAAACCACAAGATATTTTCCATGCTTTTTATGTTTGACCAAGTTTTCTGATAATTTGCCTAGTTACATGTTAAATTAATTGTGAGAAAAAAAAAAAATCAACCTCCATAGTAAATGACATGATTATGGGGAAGAATTTTTTTAATGTCTACATCCAGCTTAGACTTTTTAGGTTTTATTTTTTGTATTACAAAATAAATTATTTTCCCAAAAATGTATTTTCCTCTAAATGCAAAAAACATAACAATTACCATTTAATGATACAAGGCTTACCTCTGGAATTCCAGAGCCACAGGCATATGGGGCAAATACCTTTACCAGGGAAACCGCAAGGAAGGCAAAACTCAAGGCCCAGAAGATATACATTATATAATTCATGATGTAAGAACCAGGACCCTAAAAGTAAAAAAAGTTCCAGAGTATTAACTTAATTTACAGTGCTCCTGTAACACAAACGATAGCCACATGAGAAACTTGAGTTTAAAAAAAATTTTTTTTGAGACAAAGTCTGGCTATTTTGCTCAGGCCAGCCTTGAACTCCTGAGCTCAAATGATCTGCTTAGCCTCTAAGTGATTCCTCAAGTCTTGTCACCAAAATATCTCATTTTACCACAAAAAAACAAACTTTCTGGAAACAGCTGGCAGAGACATAACTAGACAGGCAACTCAGATTTCATTCTGCTTCAATTCTTGTGAAGATCATTAAACTAACTTCATTTAAACCAGGTGGAAATCACTATACTGCATATCTTATCAGCAAAAACATTCTTTTTAGCTCAAAAGTTCAGCTACAACAAAAAGTTTTACATATATCCATATTGAAGAGATACATACTAAATCTTAGGATGTTCTTCATTACAGAACATCTTTTAAGTGTTATAAAAATCTCTTAATTTTTTCAAGGTAGTTCTACTTAGAAGGCTGTTGGCTGAATTTTTAAATAATTTATACTTTTGTAATTCATTTTCCAATCTTAGTTATATAATATGTTAAACTTTTTTTCTTTTTTACAGCACTGAGAATTAAAACCAGGGCCTTCGCACTGAGCAACATCCCCTGCCCTTTTAAATGTTTTTATTTTGAGACAGAGTCTAAATTGCCCAGACTGGGCTCAAACTTTCAATCCTCCTGCATCAACCTCACAGAATGCTGATTACAGAAGTGTGCTACCATGGGTGTTAAACTATTTTAACCATATCACATTAGCTTTACGAATACAGCTGTAATGGCTATCACTTTTTTCTACCACACCTTATAATAAATAAATTTGTACCATAACCTAGATAACTCATATTCTACAATTAAATGGATGGGAGACATTTTTCTATACCAAGACTTACCTCCGCTTGACCTATGATTAACTCTGCCCATGTTTTCCACTGTGGACATTTATCCCTCTCTTCAAATGTGGTTTCATTAGATCCCCAACAGCACTGTTCATGGTTGTACCATAATGCACTAAGGCAAATTCCTTCCTTTAGGTCAGTCATCCAGTCAGCAGCAATGTCTATTAATCCAGCCAGTGCTCCTGTAAAATGATGGAGATAGTTTAAAAATAAAAGTCCATTTTCTGGGAGCTGCAAACTGTCTAGTTAAGAGGTTAAGGGAATGGAAGGCAGGAAAGGTCCAATAAGTAAAGGCTTATTTAGGAACTATTATATGACTTTTAAGATTTTCAAATTTTGTTTATAAATACAAGTAGATTATTTTTCAAAAAAACGAAGTAGCTATTCTTTAACATTCTCACTTGCTTAGAATTAAAACCCAATCACATTCAAATTAATAATTCTCCTTAAAAGAAAAGTGTTTAAAGGATATTAAAACACCTTCAAAAGATAGCTACTTGGAAGGAAGTTCATAAATCTGGCTACTGAAGTGAGGGTTTTGTAACTGACACAATTTCTATCTAAAAATTAACAGATAAATGATGAAATCTCATTAAAATTTAATATCCATTATAATTAGGAAAACTTGCATCACTCATGAATTATTATGAGTTTTAATTTTTTTCTTAAACAATGGAAAATCATTTGTATCAAGATTATTTCATTGAGAGAAGACAAAAAATACAAAAATTTCTGGTCAAATCTGGGCAATTCTTATAAAAAAAAGACCAATGGGTGACACATACAGAGGCCACAAAATTCTTGTGCATGTCAATTTTAGTTAACAATGCTTCTCTCCATTCTTCACAATTTTTATTTTACAAGTTTTCTGGATATAATGTTCCATGATAGAAATTGAAATAATTTTAAAAAGTCATTATTTGCTCCAGACCCTCAACTGTTATTTCTTAAAATCCACACGAACAGGCTTTGGGGCCATGCTGTACAGCAGAACAACGAAAAGAGCAGTCTCCTCAGCTAGACAACTGGAATTCAAAGCCTGGCTGAGCCACTTAGTGGCTATGTGACCTCAACTAAGTGCTTATTTCTCTTGTGCTTCAGTCCCCTCATGTGTACCACAATGGTTTTAAGGATATTAACTATACCATTAGAGATGCCATGCAGTTTAAACACATGTAAAGTTTTTAGAATACTGCATGACACATAGATAGGAAGCACCCAGTAAGTATCAGCTATTAATTAAAAGCTACTTTATCAATCATCTTAACCAAGCCACTTATTTTACAGATACGGAAACTGAGCCTAAGAAGGTCAACCACGTTGGACAGAGCCAAATACTAGACTCAGAAGCCTGTGCCTAGTCTTTTATTTAAGAAGATCTGTTGAGGGAAAGAAACAAGGTTTTTTTTTTTTTCTTCCTTTTTTTTTTTCCACTACTGGGGATCGAACTCAGGACCTTGCCCTTGCGAGGCAGGTGTGGTACCACTTAGCTAAATCCCCGGCCCAAGAAACAAGGTTTTTTTTTAAAAATCCAACAGTACCTGGGGGGAAAAAAATGAAGGATATCAAGGCAGAACTCCTTAAAGTTCTCTTAATTTAAAAAATAAAAAGGATTACTTTAAAACTTTTCTTTACCTGATGCCAGCCCTGTCAGTGTTACTACTAGCCATCCCGACCATGAGTCATACAAACTTTTTGTCATTTCCCATGCTGATTCTTTCTTTTTGCTGTTGATCTGAAATCAGAAAATTTTATGCTTTATTTTTCAAACTATGAATAGAAGCCATTTTTTCTCAGTTATCATAAATACAACCTTATCTTCTGAACTAAATAACAGGAAAGGTGAGTTTCAGGCAAAATTACTATTTCAGACAACGGTTATACCTGCAAGCCAGGTGACAACCCTTCACTCAAAGCCCTGCATTTTTTTTTTTTTTTTTGGTACCGGGGATCGAACTCTGGTCCTTATGCTTGTGAGGCAAGTGGTGGAACCACTGAGCTAAATCCCCGGCCCATAAAACCCTGGATTTTTAATCAGAACTTCAAGGATTTGAGTGGAGGGTGCCTCCATACTACCTAAGTCTTACCTAGACTGCCCAAACTTTAACTGACATACAGAGGTATCCTTTATATTAGTGGAAGTAAGATACAGTAGCAACTAGAAATGCCTATCATTCCTTGCTCCTAGTAAAGTGGATTAAATTATCTTTAATAAAAGGGAACATAGTAAGTAACAATAAAATCCCATAAATACAATACTATATAGAATAGTCATACGGACAAAAAGGCCCTCAAAACTTGTGGCCTGCAGATACATAGAGGGAAAACACCAATCCCATGGTAAGGTCCAGAGGCTCTTTCATCACTGTGTAAGGTAGAAAAAAAGATCCTTTACTGAACATCATGTAGGCAGCTAGGAAATTAAGAAGAAAAGTCTCACTTCTCTTAATAACAATGCATTTCTAAACCTATCCCTAAGTAGTTCAAACCTCTTCTGTCCTACCAGGATTGTTGCTTTACTGAGCTATACTCTCCTCCTAAGACTTTGCTACTCAACTGTACTATATGAGGGCTACAGTTAAAATTCAGTGCCTGGTCTATTTTAAGTACATGGTCTGTGTGAAGCCACAAGGCCCCATTGAAAAGACACAGTAAGTTCTAAGTTGAATGAGGCAATTATACTTCTAAACTATAATCATTCAAACATAGATATTAACTATTTTTAGTATTGGTGATAGGTCATTTCCTTTGAAAATAACCATTACATTCCATGTGACTTTTCCTCAATGAAAATAACTATAATGTTTAATATATAATATTACAACATTTACAGTCAGAGTCACTACTGTTCTCTTTATACCACTGCCTGCATACCACCAGTCACTCAAACTCTTGATAGTGTATACCAAAAACATATTCTGTGTGTGCAAGTGTTCACTCATCGCTACTGCTAGCAAAACTCTGAAATCATCTAAATGTTTATCAGTATAGGTTTACCACTATCAGTACAGGTTAAATACTAATAAACTAACACATCTAAGGAATGAAAAGTTCTATACCAATTAAAAAGGAATGGGATAGACGCAGTTACGATGAATAAAAGCCAAGTGGCTGGAAGTATGCTGATTAAGAAAGAAAAGAATATAAAAACATTTGCTTATATTTTCCCAATAAAGAGCTAAACTTTAAAATTAGAAATGCAAATGATTACTTAAAGGAAGAGGAAGGCACCAGGTTAGAAGAAACAGACATAAAAATGAGACTTCTTTGAATATACCTGTTTCCTATATTTAACTCTGGAAGAATGGAAATAGTTTATATAATTACAAAAAATAAAATTAAACCTAAAACTGCAGTCCTTAAACATTGAAGTAAGTCAAACAATTGAATCTAAAGTGCATCTAATGTAACAATAACAGAGAAAGAAACTATTCCAAAGGATTATAAATACAACAAAAAGTAATATAGAGGGCCAGGGATTTAGCCCAATGGCACTGAGCCTGCCTCGCAAGTGCAAGGTCCTGAGTTTGATCCCCGGGATACCTCCCCCCCGCAAGCAGTATAGAAAAAAGGAAACTCAAAAATTTTCAGGAAGCATATTGTTGATGATTGCTTTGGTATTACTATACTGACGCTGCTGTGTGGGTGTTTTACAGTAAATTAATTATTTTTGTAATGTTGAGATTTTTGGCACAGCTTAAAGAAGATACATAATCTGAGAACTAGAAATTAAGCCCTATAATAATGAATTTAAAATAGAATAGTATAAACTTAGGATGCTAGAAATAATGGCCAACCCAGGATAAGAAAGCAATCCACGAGTGCCTATATTTTCTCTGGATACCATTCTCATTCAATAAAACAGAGCTCCCTGGAGAAATGGCTAACTCATGGCTTGCTGCTGGAAATGTTTAAGTGGTGCTAGAATCATGGTGTTTTCTCAGAAAACCTTAAGCCTAGGAAGCCAGAAGACAAAGACACCAACTTAAATACACTCCTCCAGTCAAAAGTGGAACAACATGGACCTCACTGAGAAAAATAACTAATGATAAAGACACATCAAACATGTTTAAATTCATGGGTTCATGAAGATATAAAAGAAAAAAAGAAAAGCAAGCAAAAATCTCATTGGTCAACTTTGAGGACTCCAAGGAACTCCATTATTTCAAATCCTTTTCTTTCTAATACAGTCTGTGTTTTAGGAACTCCAAATAGTTGAAGAAAGAAAGGTCCCCTTATAGACGTACTCAGCTAGCAAATAAAAAATGAAGGATAATTAGATTACTTTAGATTTACCTTGTAAAATAACAAAGCAGTAGTATTTGAAAAGGTATAATTCATTTACTTCAAAATAATCTGGGATAGGAAGGCTTCAAGTATAGTAAAACAAAAGGGCTTATGATGAAGAATTAAGTAGGGATATAATATGTCAAAATGGATATATAGTAAATATATCCATTAGTAGAAATTAAAGTTTTTAAATTTAATGCTTTATTAACAACAGCAAGAATAACATTGTGTGGAATTTTCCAGCTTTAAAAAATGTTTTAACTAAAGCATGAATCAAAAACAGAAAAATATTAGGACACATATTGGCTACTTTATATATTACCGTATTAAATGTTTTCAAGGACTACAAACTGTTTACATAATCAGAAGGAAATAGTTTGTTTTAGTTCCTTTTAGTCTCCATTTTCTCTAAAAGTTTATGAACAGATTATATTTGGAATACTGTCAGAGTACCACATTAGAACGCACTTAAACGCCAATCTGAATACTACTCATAATTCAGAATGTATTCTTTTAAATACAACCATATTTATCTAACAATCATGTGAGACACAGGATGTCTTAGGTACTTTTGGATTAAAACAATGGTGCTCAAAACGTGATCCATTAACACCCTAGCGCAGTGGTGGTGAACTTATGGTATGTGTGCCACAGCAGGCTGTATCACTGAAAGCTCTTAATGTTTCAGCATCACTGCCTAGAGGGTCTTAAGACCCTTTTAAGAGATCTACAAGATCAAAACTATTTTTATAATAATACTAAGTTTTTATGTGCCCTTTTTTCCATATGCAAACGTTTTTACTGATAATACATAAGCCACTGCTGTCTCCTTAGCACGAATGAGGCTGTGATATCCAGAAGTACTAATGCTTAACACATCCCTGGCTGCCACACATCCCAGTAATAAATAAATTAATAATTGTCATCCTCACTTAACATCTTTGATGAAGCAATAAAAGTTATTATATATTATATACTATATTCAGTGTGATCAAATAAGAACTATACATAAGGACTTCTGCACAATAAATGAGGTTACATCACAAGGAAAGCACTTTTGATTTGAATTGCCAAATAGACTTGATGCTTACATGGAACAGCATTTTCACTTGGAAAAAAAAGGCTGACACCAAACCATGATTTTGGCAGGGACTTGGGAATTTGACAGGGGCTTTTTCAATAATGAACAAAGTAGCCCTGTCATTTCAAGTAAAGTAAGTGTTTGTTTCCAATGACAAAATGTGAGCTTTGAAGCAAAAATAAGAGTTTTGAAAAACATACCTATCATTATGAGGACTTCAATACTTAAAGACTTTTCTTAAGAGACTCATGGTGATAATTATCAACTTAATATTAAAATCAGTACTCATTCTTGGATAACTATGATATTGAATAATGAAAGAGGTCCACATTTAAAAGATCTGTATAAATCAGTGAATCATTGTTTTTCAAATGATAAATGTGATATTGTAAAATCACATGTTCAAAGTTTAAGGTGAATCAATGGGTTTTAATGTAACAAGACAAAATTCATTAACACAATTTCAGAGTTTCACAAACAACTAACTTTTTTGATATTGTTTACTTGATGCTTTGTTGTCATATCAAACAATATTCACAATAATCTAAAAAGGCTATTAAAATACTTGTCGCTTTCCCAACTACACTATCTGTGTGAGGGTGAATTTTCTTTATACACTGAATGCAAAAGCAGATACGAGAATCTAACAGTCTTTTATTAAGCCACAAATTTATGAAAAATCTAACAGTATAGTATCTCAGTAAACAGTTATTTTTCAAAAAACAGTTTCACATAATTCTATTTATGTTAACATGCAACAGGTTTTATTACTGTTGCTTTTATATGAATTAATAAGTATTTAAAATTTCTCAGTTTCAGTATGTAATATGGCAAATGTAAATCAATATAAATTACATAAACCTTCTTTAAGGGTCCTCAATACTTTTTTAAAAGTTTAAGGGAATCTGAAGCCAAAAAGTTTAATAATCACTGACTGAATACTGATAAGAATACTGATATAATTTTTTTTTCCAGTTATGCCCCAAAAGTATATATCATCTGATGAATCTCAGAAGGTATATTTTTTATAAACATAATTGAATCCCAATTTCAGACTTCACACATATGAACATATCACACACATGCATATCAACATGGAAGTTTATAAATAATTTGAATAAAGTTATTTTCATTCATAATTAAATTTCAGGACAATTTTTAAGGCTTTGAGGATTTAGAATATTTTTCAAAGAGATTTTTCTCTTTTTAAACAAATATATTTTGAACTATATTATACCAGTAAGTCATTACTACCAATTAAAAGGATCCATGCATTGGACTTTATGTTAAAGTCAACTTTTTTTATTAATGATTTTTACAATGCACAAAAAACCTTATTCAGAGTCCAATCTGAGAAATGTCCCAGAACGTAGTACTAGGAAAGGGAACTAAGGAAAACAGCAAACTCCACAAAATTACTTCCTTAGTATGTATCTTTTTTCATAACAGTTAATTTTCAACTTAGTTTTCAACCAAGTTATGCAACAAGTTTCATCTTTTGTTTTAATTACAGAGTTGCTAAGCCAAAAAGCTGACCTGCATATATTAAATTTGGCTTAATTTTCCCCCTGGTATCTCTGTTATGCTTTTCCCTTCCCTTCCTATTTTGTCTTCTAATTGTATTTCTTGTTTTTAAGCTACCTCAAAGTCTTTCGGAAAAAATTCAGGGTACAAATAAATGACAAAAAGAAACACACACACATACACACAGAAAGATAAAAAAGCACATATTACATATGAAATGTAGAATTTACTTAAATATTTTAGTTGCCTTAGATAACTGACAGAAATGCATTACTAAGTGATCTATTACGTGATATTTAAAAAAAAAAATCTTACCCGTCTATGCCGTTCTCTATCTTTACACTTCTCTCGCACCCAATCAATAGTATGGAAATCATCGTATGTACCAACACCTGGAATTGGTTCATCCAAAAGATCCAGTAGGTGTGTAGAACTATTAATGCTGCCTCCATTTGTCATTGTATAATGAGTTCCTACAGAGTAAAAAAGGAAAAATGAGAAAAATGAATGTTTAATAAAAGACAGAAGTGAGTTTTATAACCTTAGAAGTTATTAGTACAGAAACAGGATCACTTAAAACTAGTTTCATAAAATAGAGGAAATATTAAGAAAAAGTATCTAAAACCTTGTAAGACAAAAGACTCAAGTACTTTCAAAGTCATATTTTAGTTATCAGCAAACAGAATGTCTAGTCATCTGATGCTCCAGAGAATTTTGTGTGACTATTGTTAATTAAGAGATAAACTCTATAAAGTTAGAAATAACTTGTAGAAGACTGAGGAACTGAAAATGATATTTATCTGGTGAAATGCAAATAAATTCTGTCCAATAAGAAAGACAAGCCTTGAAGTTGTGGTTTCTGTTCTGTGCCTTATAAGCCTCTTCTTTCCTTCATTGAGTATATATACATTTCAATCTCACACATCCCTCCGAATCAGCTTTGTCAATTTTCATTAGAGTTTAACATGTGTTCCCTATACACTTTATGAGTACAACAAACCCAAAGAAGATTCTAAGGACACTAAAAGACACTTCAAGAAAAAGAAATACAGATAACTTTTACATAATGAAAATGACTTTAACAGATAAAATGGAAAGCATATCAAATACACAACACTACTTTTTTCTGAGACTGGTAAAGTATAAAAAGTATGTAAATATACTCAGTAAAATTACAGACAAAGAAGACTTGTCACAAAATTAATAATTAACATAAACTGGTATAACCCCTTTGGCAAGGCAAAAGCTACCAAAATTTAACATACACAGCTAGTCCCCAAGCTAGGCAAGTTTACCCCTAAAAATTTTTCCTGCACTTGTACAACTCCTGAAAAAAATCCTTAAGTTATGCCCAGTATGAGTAAAACACCTTAGTACTGTTATAGAAAGAAAACAATAACATATTACTAATGCTAAAGTGCTTATAATTGAATACAGGAGTCAACCAAGGGCTTAGAGGGATTTAGGCTTCAACTCTGCCACAGGGGCACAAAAGAAATCACAGAAGTATGAAACTAAATGGATATGAACATGTTCCAATAATATTTTACTTATAAAATAGTGAGGAGTAAGATTTGACACATGGGCCATAGTTTCTCAACATCTGACTTAAAAGCCTGTACAGCATAAATCATTCCCAATTAAAGGCATTATGAAGAAGTTTTATATAAATAGCACTCTTTCTATAGTATAGTTGATACAAAGATGCTAAGAAAAAATACTATCCCTGGCTTTAAGGTACAATCCAATATACTTTAAAGTTCTAATACTGCAGCACTATAAAACAAAATTTTGTCACATGAACTCTATCTGTTACTAAGAGATCTTCAGACTATAATATCTAGAAACAGGTTAAATTAACTTGAGAAAATGTTCTAAAAATGAATTCTAGGCCAGACATGGCGGCCAACACCCAGCTCTTGGGAGGCTGAAGCAGGAGGACTGCTGTGAGTTTGAGGCTAGCCTGGGCTACATAGTGAGTTCAAGGCCAGCCTGTACTACAAAGCAAGAACCTGTCTCAAAAAGTTTTAAATTTTAATGTAAAGTAATCAGGCTTTGGTTTCACAATGAGAATTATAGCTATACATTTCAGGTTAAGATATTTTTATACCTGTTTCACATACAGTAAACATACGACATGAAAATGGTCTGTAAAGGATAGTTTCATAGTTACATTAGGAAAAAAACCACACTGAGTAATAACTGTAATTCAGGAGTGAAAAATTACTGGATTTGGCAGTGGAAAGACTAATACTGTATAACCATTTTGAGAAGCAATTTGGAAATACCTATCAAAATACAAAATACAAAATACCAGGGGCCAGTGATTTAGCTCAGTGGTTCCGCCACCTGCCTCACAAGCACAAGGTCCCAAGTTCGATCCCCGGTACTTGTCCCCAAAAACAAAAACAAAAAAAAATACCGGGCCGGGGATTTAGCTCAGTGGTGCTGCCACCTGCCCTGCAAGCGCAAGGTCCTGAGTTCAATACCCCGTACCAAAAAAAAAAACCCAGGAACAAAATACCTACCAAAAGTAGCATACATACAAGGCTTCTACTTCTAGGAACTGATTCAACAAATGGTCAAGACTTAAAAAGATTTCACTGAAGCACTGTAACACTGAAAAACTCAACCAAACAAAAATGTCTCATCCATTGGTAAGTGAGTTAAGTAAATTCTGGACATTTATGCCACAGTACATAATGCATTAGCTCAAAAGAATGAGACGGGGCCAAGGGTGTAGACCAGTGGTAAAGTGTTTGCCTAACATGCATGAAGCCTTGGGTTTAATTCCAGTACAGGGGAGGGATGGGAGGGGGAGGGGGAGAGGAAGAGAGAAAGGGAGGAGACAGTACACACTGACATAAAAAGCTGGCTACAACAGATTTTTAAAAGGTCAAGTGTAGATCATCATGTTTAATATAAAAATTACTTTGTATAGTTTATTTTGGTTTAAAAGTTATGTTTCACATATATACCTATAAATACAAAGAAAACACTACAAACAGATATAAGACAATACATTAATAATGACTACCAGAAAAGATCAAAATTGTTAGAAAAAACAGAATGAACTTTCTTTTTCTAGTTTACAATTAGATAATATATATACATTCCAATAAAACTTACTTTTCTAAAGAAGTGTACATATGCACCCCCAAATACTATACTTGCATAAGGATATGAAACAGGCTATGAAAACAGAGAAATTTAATGGATTTAATCATAAGTAAAAAGAACAAAAATCTATTAACCAAAGGGCCATAATCTAGTCACCTAGGCTAAGTAACTTTGGACAAGTCATCTTTAAATATTAGGTATTTCTCAACATTATTGAAAACTACATGATATATGCTATAGCTTATAATATAAAGATGTGTAAAAGAAAGAAACACTTGAAACTTTTTCAGACTATTAAAAACTCTGAAAACCTCACACATAAGTTCAAACAGATCATTTTTAGCCTAAATGATTTTACCTTCTCAAATTATTTACCCATAACACAGATTTTATGACCCTGAAGAATAGTCTAGAGATTATAGTACTTGTAAGTATGTCATACTAATGAAAATATAGTCATTTGATATAAAATAGAAAGACTGGTACTACACTATATAAAGGAAATTTCTAAATATAAAACATGAGATCTGTTTATATCAGTTTGACTTTTGGGGAATTGAGGAAATTTCCTAGACTACTCTTTTTTTAAAATTGTTTACTGGTACATTTTAGGTTTACAATATGACATTCATCATTGGGAATCTGTACCTTTACATGATATATCTTGGTTCCTATTTTTTCCCCATTTCCCTGCTCTCTCTTCAACCCCTCCACCCCTCCCTATTTATAAAGACTTTGTTTCCATTTTTTCCTTTTCTCATATTTTTTTCCTTTCCCCTACTCCTCCCACTTCCCCTTCCCCTTTGGACCCTTTCTTCCTATTTCACATTATCTATTATACTTTTTGATCCTTATTAACACTTTCAGTTTCTCACTCCAGAGAAACGATTCCGTATTTACACGTGTGTCCTATTTATTTCACTTGAGTATGGCCTTGATGGGCATCCATTTAGCTACAAATGTCTCTAATTTCTCATTCTTTATGGCAGAGTAGTACTCCATTTTATTTAAAAAAACAAAAACAACCACATCTTCCTTATCCAGTCTTCCAGTTGGTGGGCAATTGGGGCTATTTCCAAGTTTTGGCTATTACAAACTGTGCTACTGTAAACATGGGTGCACATATATCACTGTGGTATGATTCTTTTATTTCTTTTGGGAAGATACCCAGTAGGGGAATAGCTGGGTCAAATGGGGCCTGTAATCCTAGTTTTTTGAGTTAACTCCATACTGATTTGCACAGTGGTTGCACCAGTCCTAGGCTACTCAAAGTCCTTCTGATTTAAACTGACTTATTCTTTTTTATTTACAGATAAGAAAGGATCATGCCTATAATCCAGCACTTGGGAGGACAGGACGCAGGAAAATGGAAAGACTGGGCTACACAGCAAGGCTCTGTCTCCAAAAAAAAAAAAAAAAGAAGAGGGCCAGAGATTTAGCTCAGTGGTTCCACTGCCTGCCTGGAAAGTGCAAGGACACAAGTTTGATCCTAGGTACCAAAAAAAAAAAGAAGAAATGAAGGAGATAAAGAAAACTATTATGTTGCAAAGCCAGAATCTGAACATTTCTACAATCACTATAAACATCACTAAACCTCGCCAACAGACCATTTTAAAATAGGAGGTAGGGAAAGAGGAATGCACAAAAAATTACCATGTTAATATTAGGAACTAATTTTATTACTGTTAAGATATAAATCAAGTCAACTATACTGTAAGTTGTCAACTTTTTCTTGATAATTCAAAGATGCAGTAAAACAAGACATGAATTTAGAAGGGGTTGGTTGGGTATGCGGGTATGTAGGTATGTATGTATGTGGGGTTGGGAATTGAACCCAGGACCATGTGTGTGGCAAGGAAGCCCACTACCATTAAGCTAACCTACCCAATGGGGATTAATATTTCAAAAACTGTAACAAAAAGTTACTAATAAACTAAAATGTCTATTTGGTTTTACCTAACAGTTCTGTCTTATCTCCCTATTTAATTCATTTGAATGTTTGCTTTGGGAAGGTATTAAAACTTCTGGGAGAAGCCTCGTGCATTGATTCCTCTGCTGGCTGAGAGTTTAAAGGCCCAATTCCTGCACTGCAATGCCCATGTTCATTTACATAAAGCACGTATTCAAACCTATACTTACAGCTTTTACGTTCTTCCCTTATTCCTACCCCATCCTAATTTCATTAATTTCCACTTATAAAATTTAGTTTAAACGCTACACATTTTCTTTAAAAAATGCAACTGGAGAATAAATATAACAAGAATATTTATAATATCTTGACAAATTTGAGAATCTCTGACTCTTTTCCATATATTGAAATTGGTAACTTTAAAAATATTTTTGGAGAAAAAAA